GGGTGGGGCTAGTAGCTGCTGAGATAAGACTGATTTTGGCAAATAACATACCCCCTAAGAAAAGAGAGCGCGGGTGGGCGGATCTAGTATCTGGTAAAATAAGACTGATTTTGGCAAATGAGATACCCTCCAAGAAAAGAGAGGGCGGGTGGGCGGGGCTAGTACCTGATAAAATAAGACTGATTTTGGCAAATAACATACACTCTAAGAAAAGAGAGGGCGGGTGGGCGGGGCTAATACCTACTAAGATAAAACTGATTTTGGCAGATGACATACACATTCTCTAATAAATTTAACTAAATTATTGTAAGAAAAGACACTATAGGCACCAAAGCACTTTCAAATTCTTTCCAAACAGGAATACCTAAAACCTCAAAATTGTTTTTAATTTTTCAAAAAAAAAACGGGTCCCAAAATTAACTCAAAAATAGGTCAGATCAGAATTTTCCAAAAATACAACTAGTACTTGCTAGGACTAGACTGATTTTATCCCTATTAATCGTGTAAAGACTTGTTAAATTAAAAGTGTTAAATTGCAAATATCCATAGTAACGAGTTAAGTTCCTAAATCTGATTGGCTGTTTATTTTTTATTAAATTTTAACAGGTTTGATTCAGAATTTCCCCTAATATAAGATTAAAAAAATTGGTCTAAAGTTTTTTCGACAGAAGTTCCCTCGCTCCTAAAGTACAATAAAACATATCCAGCATTTTCGAGTTTTTTCTTTACACAATTTTGTGATGACATCATCAACATTTTTGCAACGACATGTATATAAATATATATAATGGTATTTTATTCCAAAAATTTTCTGGGAAAATTGAGTGAGCCGTTTCTAATTTAATCAATAAAATATATTGACTCATTCATTAATTTTTTTGAGCCACCTGTAACACTCATTTCGGGTAGATTGGGTAGATCTAGGAATTTAACTCGTTACTATCGAAATTTGCAGATTTAACAACTTTTAAATTTAACAAGTTTTTACAAGATTAATAGTTTTGTCTTAGCCCCGCCCACCCGCCCTTTGTTTTCTCAGAAGGTATGTCATTTGCCAAAATCAGTCTTATCTCACCAAGTACTAAACTCGCCCACCCGCCCGCTATGTTCTCAGAAGATATGCCATTTGCGAAAAAATTGTTTTAAATAATTTACAAAAAAAATCTTCAAGGGCTCCCAAAATAATACACCATGGATACCCAAGTGTCTCCCGAATTAAAAAAAAAATAATTCAAATTCATAAAAAATAAGACACTAAAAACTTAAAAGATTTTTTTCAAGTTCATCCAACAACAAAACACCAGATTCCTTTAAATGTAACCGCAAATAAAAAACTAAGGGACCTAAAATTAAGTACGACCATTTTAAACGTAGGATATTGAAAACTTTGACAATTTTTGTTACGTCAAACATTTTTAGTTGTCAAACGTAGCAAAAGAACCAATTTTAAAATCATTATAACTCCACCAAAATGTAAAAAGAAATTTTTTTACTATTTTTCCAGACTCACCAACTGATTACGGAGAGTTAATCCGCCATTTTCTAGACACCCGGTATATTCTCTGTATATTAAAGTTGTATTTAATGAATTAATGGTTCCTATGTTTATCAGTCCATAAAATATTGCAACATAGATTCTGTTTTTGAAATTCCGTTGCGACGTTGTCAAATTATTCCAATTTTTTTGAAATTTTTTAGCAATGGAGGAGCCCACAAAAAATTGCAATGGGGTTAATTTTTAAACCTAGGTTACAATATTTTGTGGAGAGATAAATAAAGAATTATTGCGGTATAAATAAAATCGGGTTTTAATATCCAGTGTTTATAAAAACATTAAATAACAGCAATAGTTTTCAAAGATGATATTTCAGTTTTATCAAATGGAACATCCTGTATATTATTACTGCACTTTATTATGTTTTTGTTCTCGTCGCTTTTGTTAAGTTTTTTCTATATTTAAAAACAGAATAAAATGCAGTATAGTATAACCTCTATAATCCGAACCCACGATTATCCGAACAAAAGCTAGTTGAAGTCGAGCAAAATTTTCGAAAGAATCGCTATAAAATGCGAATTTTTGAAAATTTAAAAATTTGCGATATTTCAAAGGTCGATTCTGGAAAAACGGTTGTACTTATAAAAGAAATGATGCCGGAAGTGAGTTCTAGAGCTCGAAATCTACAAGAAAATGTATTTAGTGAAGTTTCAAAAATGTCAAAAATTGGCCGAGATTTTAAGAAGGGGAGACCATTGAAAAAATTTCACTTTTAAAAAAGTTGTCTAAAAATTACGAAAAAATTCAGGGACGTGGATCTCGACATGCTGATTCCAAAAATATAGCGTATTGATGGTAACGGAGCAATATTTTCGGAAAATTCGGTGTGAAATTCGAATTTTTCGAAATTTTTAAAAATTGCGATATTTCAATGGACGATTCTGGAAAAACAGTCTAAGCTATCGAAGAAATGAAGCCAGAAGTGACTTCTGCGGCCCAAAATCTACAAGAAAATGTATTTAGTTAAATTTCGAAAATCGTCGAGAATGGGTCGAAATTTGCATAAGGATACCTAATACGAATACATGATGGAAAATTTCATTTTTGAAAAAATCATCTAAAAATTCAAAAAAAATTCAGGGATATACAGGGTGTCTCAGAAATAAGTACATTAATTTTAACCAGTAACAGAACTCGTGAAACGGAACAACTTTTTTATCTAGCATTTTTTCGAAAACTCAAGTCGAATTTCGAATTTTCCCACCCATATATTCACGAGCCGTCTATGTTCACCTTAAATAATAACTTAAATAATAGCAACACTACAACAATGAAGAAGGTACCATAGCAACCGTTTTGACACTGACAATCATTTTTATGTCAATGTTTTTATTAAACGTTGTCTCTTTAAAGTTTGTTTGGTACAGATTTCTAATTTATAGACGAAATGTGTTGAAATGGCTTTGTTTTCAAATCTGGAATGCACCGATATCGTTTTAACTAACGTACGGTGAAGCTCGGGGAAACGGCACTCGCGCCCAACAAATTTTTTCAGAAAACCTCCCAAATCGTCTGCCAAATGTGCGCAGTTTTAAGAACGTTGCAGCATTTTCGAGAGTACGGATCTTTTAAACCTGCACCTCAGGATCGGGGTAAGTTACGTAGTAATAGAATTGCTAATATTGAAGAGGCTGTTTTGAAGAGTGTCGAAGCTCGACCGGGCACTAGCACGCATCACTGTCTAGTGTGATGTATCAGAGAGTAGTATTTGGAGGATACTCAGAGAACAAATGTACCCCTTTCAGGACCAGAAAGTTCAGTTATTGAAACTAACACACTTACCACGTAGGCAAAACTTTTGTGAGTGGGTTAATAGAAAAATAAACGAACAAGCAAATTTTGTATCTCTTATACCATCAACTGATGAGGTCGGTTACACGAGGGAAGGTGTTCAACACCCACATTTGGGCCGATGAAATTCCGTACGCGATTAGGGAGCAGGATTTTCAATTTCTCTCTAAATGTTTGTCACATTGACAAGATTAGGAAAACACGTATCCTAGTAACTGTTTTTGACCATAAATTATTAATTACAATAATTATTAGTGTCCATGGGTGACTGAGGATCCATGGGCGGGTAACCTTAATTCGGGTATAACTTTAACAATTTTTAACTTGATAATTAAAAAGTTCTTGACAAAACTCTACTAAAAAAAGTTGTTGAGTTCAATGAGCTCTATAACTGATTAAAATTAATGTACTTATTTCTGAGACACCCTGTATGTAGATCCCGACATGTTGATACCAAAAATATAGCGTGTCTATGGTTACGGAGTGATATTTTTTCGAATCTATCTCTTATCCATTGTTGCTTAAGAATACTTTATTTCTGTTTAAAAAAAGTAAGGTTTATTTCTTGAAGTTTGTTTTCAGCAGTGTATGAATCAATTCCCTTTCAGATTTTTGGGAAATTCGCTGATCCGAACAAATTGCTAATCCCAACTAATTCGGATTATCGAGGTTCTACTGTAATAAAATACGGGCAGTTTTGCTTGAAAAAACTGAAATATTGATCTTTGAAAATTGTACACTTGATTTTTCATAAACACTCCGTATATTAAAATTTTATAATACACTGTATAGTCGAAAATAATTTTACTGTATGCCGTACAAGTTTAATCTTCGGCTTTTTTTTCTATTTCGAATAATTAATGAGATGTCGAATAATTCTTGTCGCAAAGGTGGTAATTCTTAAACGTCTACTGACATTTTATGAAGAGTAGTTGGTTAATTTGTTTATCGTGCAGTTGGTGAAATGGCAACCAAAATTTGTCTCAGCATCCCTTCCAAAAGTTGATGACGTCACTTCAAAATTTTATTAACAAGTCTTACCTGAAATTTAGGATTACAAATTTGAATCTACGCGGTTTATTTTTAATTACTGCAAGATATGAACATTAACAATTAAACATTATTTATTAACACAATTGCAAAGTTAATAACCTCAAAACTTATTATTCGCAAAAAATGTGCCTAGTGAGAGATTTTAATTTTTTTAGAATTGTTCACGTACTCCGATTACTCCCTACTTATCAATCATCTATGTCAGATAACAAACTCAATTCAAAACAACGTATTTTAATTTGTTTGGTAAATTTGGTTCCATATTTAATATTGTCAATATTGAAATTATTCGTCATAGTTAATTTTGTCTAATTTGTGCACGCGATGGGTAGTTCCATCATAACCACTGAAGTTGTGGGGCTATAAAATATTTTTGTGTATTTTTGAATTTTTTATACTTAATAATACTCGTTAAACAAAATCCGAAACATTGCAACTCCACTCAGCGCTCACTTTACTTAACCCCCACCGACAACTCACTTAACTTAAACCCACCCGACGCCAACCCACCGCATTTACTTCCACGACTACCTCCCGCCGCAAAAATGCGCTTACTTAACTCTCCGCAATTCGCAGAGTCAGCACATTCATCATTCCTCACCTTTTCGCTGTAGAAACCGGCATTTCTTCCTCTTTTAGCACCTTCGACAGATCGTACTCGGACTCCTCGGACACTCTCAGCGACTTGGACGTGATACTGAGAATATCCTCGAGTCCAGAACTTTTCAGCGAAATCGACGTTTCGGAATGTATGGATTCGCTGCAACTCTGCACCACCCTCAGTGGTCCCGTGCTACGTCTCTCCTTGCGCTTTTTCACCGTGATTTGAGACAACATATTGTCCGTGCACAGTTGGTGCTTGATGAGGTTTCTCTGCTGCTTGAGGGTGTTTTTCCGGTGTTCGGATGCTTCCTTTTGCATCTGTTTCAGTTTTTTGATTTCGTTGCGCTCTTGTTCATGTTTGAGGATGATTCCGCGTTGTTTCTTCTTGAGGAGGGAGGCTTCTTCGATTTTGCCTGTTTCTATGAGCTGTCTGAAAGAAATTTGAAAAATGGACAATAATAAGAGTATCACAGGGATGTGTACTGAAACGTCTGCTATTTTTAGTTTACGTTAATGACCTACCCTTTTATGTAAAATATCATTTTAGGAATCAAAAAGCAACAACAAAATCGTAAACAATGATTATAGCAATATTTATCGCGATAACAACGTGGAGAAAAATTTAACTTTTGAGTGTTGGTAATAATAATATACTCACTTTTTCTGAATATCTAGCCACACAAGTTCGCTTTTAGTTCTGTCAAGTAGGGCCTGTTCTCGAATTTTTATTATAGTTTTCAACTGTTGGATCCTAGTGTCCTCATCCTTGATAAGCTGATCAAACTAGAAACCACAATACTGTCGTCAAACGAAAGTTCGATAACAATATCCTTATTATTTTGTTATTTCAATAACATTCCAAGTAGAGAGTGATAAGTATAATAATGGAGATTCTTATCTTTGGCGTGTTTAATGTTTACTTAGGTATGGTATGAGTGTTTAATTATGTTGTAACGACGATATCAGAAAATTCACTCGTAGAAAAATGGACATTTTTTTTTTGTAAAAAAAAAATAAAGACAAACACCATACTTACTATATTTAGAGACAATATGCTGGCACAGTTGCTTAATTTCAAGTCAAAATTATCTAAACCAGATATAGACAACTTCGATCTTCCCTCGTCAGTGGATACGTTGGTAACACTGGACGCGTTCAAATTGCTAAGATTCCAATCGGTTGAGAAAGAGCTGTTGTGCAACGACTTGGAGGTGTTTCGATTGTTATTCGCGATGGAATCGTTCAGCTCCTCTGCCACTTCCGATCCTCTCGAAAAATTGATGGAGGAATTTTTTGAACCTCTGGGTGATCTTTCCGTGCTGACGTTGGTAGAAGTTTTGGTGACAACGGAGGTTTGGGTGTCTACGTTCTGGAGAGTTTTCGTCATGGCTAAGTTCGTTTCGTGTTTGTTTTTCAAGTTTTCGAAAGCCTCTTCGACGGCTTTTAGTTGTTTGAATGATTCGTTGAAGTCGTTGAGGAGGCGGACTTCGGCTTCGAATTTCAGGTGGAGTTCGTTAACGGTGTTCTAAAACAATAAAAGTGATAAAACACCCGAATTCACTATAAAGAACCGCCACTGCCTTTGATTGGAACGCATTATGTCCCGATCAACATTTCGACAAGGATACGTAGGTGAATTCCGACACGCGCACTACTAATGATAAAAAATACATATAATACCAGTCACAGTGCAAGAAAAATTGTGACCTATGGGTCAATCGAACCAGCGGCCTTCCGTTAGTAATTCAATATCTTCACGGTACGGTCATAGAGTCCACCACACGTCAGTGTTCTTATACTGGTATTTGCAAAAATTAGATGCTTAGGGTCAAAAACTCAAGGCCGATTCATAAACCACATATACAAGAGTATATTATTTCATAAAATGTTGACAGAATAAAAACAATTGCAAAATTTCAGAGCAGCCAGTTTAATAGTTTCTATCAGATTGTACAATGTTGTATAATTTTGATTTTTTTTCTGAAAATCTAGATGTTTAAAATAAAGAATTACGACGGATTAATGGACCACAAGTATAGATGTATCATTTATTAAAAAAAAAAAAATAGAACCGAAACAATGAAAACAAAAATGATCTCAAAAAAAAGGACGAAAACATAAAATTAGCCATTCCTCAAAATGATCCTATTATAAAATACAATACTTTCTGTAGCTGACGCTAGAGAACTTTCCTCGCCTCTGAAATACTAATTACAGGAATTCAGTATTTTCGAAAAAAAAAATGATAATACCAGTCAAGTCAGTGTAAGGAAAAAAATGGCTTATGAGGGGATCGAATCTGCAACCTTAACGTTATTGTATATTATGTGGTGTACAATGTTACAATAAAATTTCAAAAAAATATAGCCAAGAATAAAGACTAAAAGCGGATTCGTAAACTACAAGTACAGGAATTTATTTATTTATATTTTATAAACTTTAAATGGCGTTCAGACAAATTTTGGTTAACGTTTTACTATCTACACGACATTCCAAAAACACAAATAAAATTTGACAGTTTGGTAATTTCGGAAATTATATGTCTAATAAAAATCGACGGACAGACAGACGACAGACAACACGAAAAATCTAAAAACTGAAATATTCAAAAAATTAAAAATCGGGAAATCGAAACATCAAAAAAATTGTAAAATCTAAAAAACTTAAAAACGAAAAATCTAAGATTTAAAAAATCGAAAAATTGAACAACCGAACAGTCGAGATCTTGATAAATCGAGACATCGAAAAATTTAAGATTCGAAAAACTGAAAAACCGAAAGTTGAAACATCGAAACTTCGAAAAGTCGAGGGAAATCGAGAAATGGGAAGGAAAATCAGAAAAGTCGATCAACAGAGAAATCTAAAATTAAGAAACGCCAAAAATTAAATGATTTAAAATCGAAAAATTGAAGAATTGAAAATTGAAAAACCGAAAAAGTGAAATATCGGAATATTGGGTAATCGAAAAATAAAATATCGAGAAATGGGAAATTTGAAAAATCGAGAAATTGAAGAATCGAAAAACTGAAAAATCCCAAAACTGCAACATCGAAAAACTCAGTAGTCAAAACACTGAAAAATCGAAAAATTGAAAACGAAAAACTGATTTACCGTAAGTTGAAACATCGAAACTTCGAAAAGTCGAGGGAAATCGAGAGAGAGGAAAATCACAGAAGTCGAAAATTTAGAAACGCCAAAAATTAAATGATTTAGAATCGAAAAATTGAAGAATCGGGAATTGAAAAACCAAAAAATGAAATATGGGAAAATTGGGTAATCGTAAAATAAAAAAAATCGAGAATTGGGAAATTTGAAAATTCGAGAAATAGAAGATTCGAAAAACTGAAAAATCCCAAAACTGAAACATCGAAAAACTAAGTAATCAAAAAATTGAAAATCGAGAAATTTTAAAATCGAAAAATTGAAAAATCAGACTGAAATATCGAAAGCTAAAAAATCGAAAAATCGAAAGATTGAAAAATCGAAAAATTGAGAAATAGAAACATTGGAATATTAAAAAATTTAAAAATCGGCAAATCGAAACATCAAAAAAATTGTAAAATCTAGAAATACAGAATTTATTAAATCGAAAAACTGAAAAATCGAAAATCAAAGATTTAAAAAATACAAAAATTGAAGAAACGAAAAATCAAAAAACTGAAAAATCGGAACATCGAAAAATTGAAAAATCAAAAACCTGAAAGATCGAAAAATTGAAAACGAAAAACTGAAAAACCGAAAGTTGAAACATCGAAACTTCGAAAAGTCGAGGGAAATCGAGAGAGGGGAAAATCAGAAAAGTCTAAAATTTAGAAACGCCAAAAATTAAATGATTTAGAATCGAAAAATTGAAGAATCGGAAATTGAAAAACCAAAAAAATGAAATATCAAAAAACTGAGTAATCAAAAAATTGAAAATCGAGAAACTGAAAAACTGACAAATCGAGAAATTTAAAAAATCAGATTGAAATATCGAAAGTTGAAAAATCGAGAAATCGAAAGATGGAAAAGCCGAAAAATCGAAAATTCGAAAAATTGAGAAATCGAAAAACTGAAATATTAAAAAAATTTTAAATCGGGAAATCGAAACATCAAAGAAATTGTAAAATCTAAAAATCCAGATTTTAAAAATCATAAAATTGAACAGAAAAATTGAGAAATCAAAAAACTGAAAAATCGGAACATCGAAAAACTGAAAAATCGGAACATCGAAAAACTGAAAAACCGAAAGTTCAAACATTGAAACTTCAGAAAGTCGAGGGAAATCGAGAAATGGGAAAATCAGAAAAGTCGATTGACAGCGAAATCTAAAATTTAGAAACGCCAAAAATTAAATGATTTAAAATCGAAAAATTGAAGAATCGAAAATTGAACAACCGAAAAAGTGAAATATCGGAAAATTGGGTAATCGAAAAATTAAAAAATCGAGAAATGGGAAATTTGAAAATCGAGAAATTGAAGAATCGAAAAATTGAAAAATCACAAAATAGAAACATCGAAAAACTAAGGAATTAATAAATTCAAAATCGAGAAACCGAAAAATTGACAAATCGAGAAATTTAAAAATCGAAAAATTGAAAAATCAGAGTGAAATATCGAAGGTTGAAAATTGAGATATCAAAAGATGGAAAAGCCGAAAAATCGAAAATTGGAAAAATTGAGAAATCTGAGAAACTTGAACTATCAAAAAAAATTTAAAAATTGGGAAATCGAAACATCAAAGAAATTGTAAAATCTAAAAATGCAAAATTTAAAAAATCGAAAAACTGAAAAATCGAAAAACCTAAGATTTAAAAAATAGAAAAATTGAAGAATCGAAAAATTGGGAAATCAAAAAACTGAAAAATAGGAACATCGAAAAACTGAAAAACAGCAAGTTGAAACATCGAAATTTCGAAAAATCGAGGGAAATCGAGAAATGAGAAAATCAGAAAAGTCGATTAACAGAGAAATCTAAAATTTAGAAACGCCAAAAATTATATTAATTATAATCGAAAAAATTGAAGAATCGAAAAATAAAAAAATCGAGGAATGGGAAATTTGAAAAATCGAGAAATTGAAGAATTGAAAAATTGAAAAATCGAGAAATGGGAAATTTGAAAAATCCCAAAATTGAAGCATCGAAAAACTTATTTATAAAAAAATTGAAAATCGAGAAACTGAAAAATTGACAAATCGAGAAATTTAAAAATCGAAAAACTGAAAAATCAAACTGAAATGTCGAAAGTTGAAAAATCGAGAAATCGAAAGATGGAAAAGCCGAAAAATCGAAAAGCAGTAAAATCGAAAATTCGAAAAATTCAGAAATCGAAAAACTGAAAATGTTAAAATCGGAAAATCGAAACATCAAAGAAATTGTAAAATCTAAAAATGCAGAATTTAAAAAATTGAAAAACTGAAAAATCAAAAAATCTAAGATTTAAAAAATAAAAAAATTGAAGAAACGAAAAATTGCAAAATTAAAAAACTGAAAAATTGGAACATCGAAAAATTGAAAAATCAAAAAACTGAAAAATTGGAACATCGAAAAATTGAAAAATCAAAAACCTGAGGGATCGAAAAAATCGAAAACAAAAAACTGAAAAACCGATATTTCAAATCGAAACTTCGAAAAGTCGAGGGGAATCGAGAAAGGGAAAAATCAGAAAAGTCGAAAATTTAGAAACGCCAAAAATTAAATGATTTAAATAGAATCGAAAAACTGAAGAATCGGAAATTGAAAAACCAAAAAAGTGAAATAACGGAAAATTGGGTAGTCGGAAAATAAAAAAAATCGAGAAATGGGAAATTTGAATAATCGAGGAAATGAAGAATCAGAAAACTGAAAAATCCCAAAACTGAAACATCAAAAAACTAAGTAATCAAAAAATTGAAAATCGAGAAATTTCAAAATCGAAAAATTTTAAAATCAGACTAAAATATTGAAAGTTCAAAAATCGAAAAATCAAAAGATCGAAAAACCGAAAATTCGAACAGCAGAAAAATCGAAAATTCAAAAAATTGAGAAATCGAAAAACTGAAATATTTAAAAATCGGGAAATCGAAACATCAAAGAAATTATAAAACCTAAAGATGCAGAATTTAAAAAATCGAAAAACTAGAAAATCGAAAAATCTAAGATTTAAAAAATAGAAAAATTAAAGAAACGAAAAATTGGAAAATCAAAAAACTGAAAAAACGGAACATCAAAAAATTGAAAAATCAAAAACCTGCAAGATCGAAAAATTGAAAAATTCCAAAACTGAGACATCGAAAAACTGAGTAATCAAAAAATTGAAAATCGAGAAACTGAAAATTTAACAAGTCGAGAAATTTAAAAATCGAAAAATTTAAAAATCAGACTAAAATATTGAAAGTTAAAAACTCGAAAAATCAAAAGATCGAAAAACCAAAAAATCGAAAATTCGAAAAATTGAGAAATCGAAAAACTGAAATAATAAAAAATTTAAAAATCGAGAAATCGAAACATCAAAAAAATTGTAAAATCTAAAATTGCAGAGTTTAAAAAACCGAAAAACTGAAAAATCCCAATATCGGAAAATTGAAAAATCAAAAACCTGAAAGATCGAAAAATTGAAGAACCGAAAAATCGAAACTTCGGAAGTCGAGGGAATCGAGAAATACGAAAAGAAAAGTCCATTAACAGAGAAATCGAAAGTTTAGAAACGTCAGAAGTTAAATGATTTAAAATCGAGAAATTGAAGTATCGAAAATTGAAAAACCGAAAAAGTGAAATATCGGAAAATTAAATAATCGAAAAATATAAAAATCAAGAAATGGGAAATTTGAAAAATCGAGAAATTGAAGAATTGAAAAATTGCAAAATCCAAAACCTGAAAGAACCGAAAAACCGAAAGTTGAAACATCGAAACTTCGGAAAGTCCAGGGAAACCGGGAAATGAGAAAATCAGAAAAGTCCATTGACAGAGAAATCGGAAAATTAGAAACGCCAAAAATGAAATGATTTAAAATCGAAAAATTGAAGAATCGAAAATTGAAAAGCCGAAAAAGTGAAATATCGGAAAATTGGGATGGGTAATCGAAAAATAAAAAATCGAAAAATAAAGAAATCGAGAAATGGCAAATTTGAAAAATAGAGAAATTGAAAAATCCCAAAACTGAAACATGAGTAGCCAAAAAATTGAAAATTGAGAAACTGAAAAATTGACAAATCGAGAAATTTAAAAATCGAAAAATTGAAAAAACAGACTGAAATATTGAAAGTTGAAAAATCGAAAAACTGAAATATTAGGAAATTCAAAAATCAGGAAATCGAAACATCAAAGAAATTGTAAAACAGACGACACAGACGGCGGACAGACAGGCAAACAGACGGAAATGGGAGACTTATTTTGTCATATTTTATGGGCCATGGAACGTCGAGAAAACATGAAAGTAGCCAGTCGCCCCATAAACTATATAAAAATATATTAAAAAACACACTTTGAAAAAACATGACACATCATCTAAAATAAGTAAATATGGCGAACTGGAAAAATAATTAGAAAGCAGAAAAATAATTATACTTGAAAATTTGTCTAAAGTTTAAGACAGAACTTCATTACGATCCAGTTTCGAAAAATTTAAAAATTTGAATTTGAAAAATTTTACTTATTTTGTGATAGTTCCTATAGTAAAAAAAACATTAGACAACGATGGGATTCGAACCATCACGGGCGGCAGAGAACGAGTCCGAAATCCACTATTTATTGATGTAAATATCAGACCAACAATACGTTTACAAAGTAATTGTGATAAAATTTAAGGCGGATTCATCAACCACGAGTATAAGAATATATGATTTTATAAAATTTTGACAATCCTTACTACGTAAAATAATAAGTAAGATGTCGTCAAAATGTTGATGGGGATGATTTCACAAATTTTGGTTAATAGCTGCTTTCATGTTTTCTCAACGTTTCATGATTCATGTTATGAATATCGTGTAAACCAAAATTTGTTCAACTTAATTGAAATTTTATCAAAAATATACTCTCATATTTGTACTTTATGAATCCGCCCTGTTTTTGTTATTACACGTTACTATTATTCTTATAATTTAAACTTTCTTCTTCTTTAGACAGGTTATCCTTTTTTTTAATAAATCAAGAACGGTTCACCCCACCACCACGTCAAGAAAAACTAAAATAAGCCAATCGTAAAAATGATCATGTCACAAGAATGAAACACGGTAGATTAAAAAAAACCTAAATAAACTCAACAAAATAAAACTTTGAAGAAATATAAAATACGAAACAACAAAACGAAAAAGCGGAGGTTTCAAATTCTTCAAATTGAATTCAAAACAAAAAAAAGAATTATGACCTGTTGTTCTAGATATACGCTGTAACGACCGTAAAAAATAAACCCGGTTTTTGAAAATTAAAAAAAAAAAACAAAAATGTAGAATATAACAAAATATAAAATTAATGAAAATAATTCGAAAAAAAAATCTAAGAAGTCAAACATTTTTCGCTATAAAATTAATAAACAACCAAGACTATAAACATAAAAACGAACGACAAATCTGAATCTTTCAAGATACAGAATACTTACATTCGGTAAACTTGAAGATTTAATGGTGATATTTTTCATTTGGCTTTGGACAACATCGCCCCGCTTCTGACCCCTTGGAACTTTCAACGACATCGTCGGTTGCTTTAAATTCAAAGACGTACTAACTTTGTCATTTGAAACGACACTTTTAGTACTGGTGTCTTCAACCAAAATTTCTGGCACCGATCCTGCGCTACTTCTAGAAGATCTGTCCTTTGTCAACAGTGACTTAAAACTTCCTTGTGAATCATCCCCGTTTCCTAGATTCTCGAAACTTAAGTCCTCGGTACCCGATCTTATGGTAATCGTATTCATTAAAACCCTTTTTCTGTCCGACGACTGACCGTTATGGATGGTTAGTGAAACGGATGGTTGCTTCAGAACCAAAGATTCTGTAACAAGTTGTGATTTGGAACTAGATGTACTTTTAGACGGTTGACTATCGCTTGACGACTTATTGGAAGATTTTGGAAAATTGCCGTCGCCCCGTAAGCACTTGTTAATAAAATTGGTAAAATTTTGAATTGAGTGTTTAGTACTTTCTGGTTTGTCAGTTTTGTGTGTTGATTCTGCGTAATTGGTGGCGGTACCAGAAAATGAATTACCACCTAAAGATATGTCAGACGCAGACACATCAGAAGCTTTGTTTTCACTAACGACTGTTTTAATCGTGCTAGTGGATTTAGACTTTTTAGTACTGACGCTCTCTTTCTGAAAATCAGAGCTATAACTATCCTTTTCACCACTATTATCGTCAATATGTGACGACTTTGATAATTTTTGAAGTTTCAAACTCTTCAATTTATCCAAACTCAAGTGAGGTTTGGAACTCGCAGACGCCAAACTCTCGCTTGAAATTTCTGGAATGTTCTTTGAAGTATCTGACTCGCTGTCATAACCCGTGAACAAATTCCTCGAGATTCCGTCTTTACTAGACTTGATTTTACCGCCGCCATTGGGTACCAATTCTAGATTTTCGACTACTTGAAGATCTAGATTGGGACCCTTGTGTGATGCAAACGACCTCAAATCGCCCCCGGTACTCTTAATCAACATTTCTTTAATTTCCTCTTTAGATTTCGTACGTCCAACATTTGGAGTTTCTTCGGAATTATCACCCGAATTTTGCACACCCACATCCACGCAACTTCGTGGCGAATTTATGGCTTGCTGCAGCTTTCTCTTCACGGTATTGATAAAATTGTAGGGGTAAGGCAAAGCAGGAGGGGGCTGCATCCAAGCCACGTTTTCGAAATTACGATTGGTTTGGGTTTCTTTCGTATCTTTAAGGCAAGCATCAGTCATCACTGAAAGTTCTAAGACCTGTTTGGGTTTTTTAGGTCTTTGGGTTATGTTTTTATGGAGAGTTTTGTCGTCTTTATTACTTTGAGCTAAATCGCGTTCCGGTATTCTTTCATTGAGATCTAGAGGTACTTCTGGACTTTGAAAAGGCAGGAAAACTGTCTCCTTAAAATCAGTTAGATCTGTATTGCTTGAATTGAACGTGATATAAGGAATTAGGTTCTGTGTAGATGTAGAGGGCGCAACAACTGTTTCCACACGTTTTCCTCTAGTACGTGTTCTACTGGTTCTTTCATCTGGCTTCTGAAATTTGGCACCTTGTAATTTTTCTTTTGATTTAGTTCGCGTTTGTAATGTAGAGGGCGACTTTAGTTTCTCTTGTGGTTTGCTTGAAATAAGCATTCCCTGATTTAGATCTATAGCCACTTCTACTTTATTTGACGGTGGAAAACGTGTTTTGTCAAACTCTCCAACATCTCTACTTGTTACTGATTTAGACTTTGGAGGGTACAAATAGTTCGGATCTATTTTCTGCGCAGGTCTATACAATCCAGTAACACCCCCACCACTTGTACGCGTCCGACTAACCCTTTCTTGAGATTTCGGTCTTTCTTGAATTTTAATCGCCTCTTGTGACTTAGCTCGCGTTGCAGCCGATTTTGCCGGGACGTTTAGGCGCCCCCCAGCAACATTTTCTTGAGATTTATATCGAGCGTTGCTTTTGTCTAGTCGAACCGGCGGCCCCCGATCCCTCGATTTCGATCGCTCACGTTTCAACTGTACATTTTTATTGACTAATTCTAACGCTTTCTGGTGCAGCTCCCGCAGCTTTTCCTTTTTTAACTCTACCTGATTGTCAGTAACGTGGATCTGAGCCCTCAATTCCTCAGCGCGCTTTTCCTTTTGCTTTTTTATATACTCACGAGCGTCCGCTACATTATAAGTTTTAACCTTTTTCGGGGGGCTGGTTCTTGTGGGTTCGCTCTTTTTCTGCACTGGAGGCGCGTGTTTGGTGGGTTGGGGGTCACGACGCGGTTTCTCCGGGGTTGTGAGTGGAACAGGAATGGCAAGGTCTTGCTCGACATTGTTAATGAGCGCAGACTGAGTTCCTGAGTTGAGGAGTTGCTGTAATTCGTGCTTGAGTTGTTGGATTTCTAGTTTTGTGTTCTTTACACGTGCACTGACGTCTTGTACTTCTTTGTTACTGGGTTTGTTGGAATGTATGTTCATTGCTTGAGTATTTGCGATGGTTAATACTGTTCACGAGACACAATTACGAGTAGTGATTTCTTCGCTCAACTGAAATTAAAAAAATTATCATTAGATAAAGTGGAATTCATTTAATTTGTAAATTTAACGAACAGTTTCTGTTGTAAATTTGCTATTTTTTTACCTTTTTATACATTTAAAAAAGTCAACCGTTCACTACATAACCTCACAGCCACACAACCGGAATTTAAATAGCCGGCCAAGGTCAAACACTGTACAGTAGGTGGAAAATGAAGAGAATTAATCTTTAAGAAAAAGATTGGTCCAAATCGATACAAAACAGCACTTAAATAACCTATAAAAAACGCGATCGTTTCGAAGAGAAGTATTTGGGTAACTGAAAATCAAAATTTCGAACTGAATTGAAAATTGAAAGTGACATTGCGCTGTTAGAGGGGTTGCATACTCTACACTTTATTTTAAAAATGGCAAAAGGACTATTTGAAGACATTTTCTGACCTCTAATATTTATCTCAAACTGCCTTATTTTAAAATATACAGATCTGTAGCAATAAAAATAAACAAATTTTGTTTTCCGGAATTTCTGGGGTACACTTTGCTGCATAAGTTTTAATCTTGTCTCTTCTTCAATCTTTCCTTTCCAAATCTTGAATTCGGTTTCTGAGGTAAAGTTCAAGTATTCGTTATCCATGGCGATTTCATGTGCTTTTTGTTAATGTTGGTTTAACACAGATCTTTGAAAGTGTTTATAATTACACAGACAACAGTGATAGGTACAAATTTTAGCGTATCCCTATCCAATATTATGATGATTGATTACGTTCATGAATACCAAGGTTTGATTTAATATTGTACTGCTTGTCGCAATGCAACATTTATATCTCAGGCAAATTTCATCAAATATAATAAAAAATTCAGTATTATAGGTAAAGAAATATTATTCATATCTAATGTAGTAGTATTAATTTATTATTTGCCTTACAGCCTTAATAATATTCCCAGTAGGGGTACAAATTAACTTAATCTACATCAGATAAATCAATAAAAATAAAAATAAATAAAATAAAATAAATATTCGAGTTTTATATGTATAATAAATGTTCTATTCTTTCTACTTGTCCACCCCTTGCCATAGTTCCCTTATCTTCCATACTTCTCTACTTTCCTGGTTCTCTCAATCCTTCACAACCTTCCAGCATATGCTCTATTGTTTCTCCCTCTCTCCAACATATCCTACACCTTCTGTCATTTTCATCCATCCAAAAATTATTGTTTTCTCTTCATTTCCACACCTAAATCTCACCATCATTCTTTTCACCTTTATACTCTCTCTGTGTGTGTACTTTGGTACTTCATCCTTTACTATTTTTCTATAGTCTGCAATGCGGGGGGGGGCGCAGCGTCAAAAGGGGCGCAGACCGTAACGTAACCGATATATTTTTTTAAAATGTGCAATTTTTAAAGAATTGGAATTGAAAATGAGATCAGGTAAATTAATAACTATTTAACGAACAAGTTTGTTAATAAAGGCGATTAATAATCGAGATATTTTAACGCGCGAGGAATGAGTTTTTATATTTTTTCTTTTTCTCAATTTGAAATTTTTCAGTTTTTGGATTTTTCAATTTTTTTTGTTTTCAATTTTTCGTTTCTTCAAGTTTTGATTTGCAGGTTTTCTAGTTTTCATTTTAGATATGTAATAATAATTATAATTTTTATTGGAGTTGTTCACTTTTTCAATTTTTCGTTTTTGGAATTTTTTAATTTTTCGATCTTTGAATGTTAGTTTTTGGACTTTACATTTTTCGATTTAATTCGTTCTTTGATTCATTAATTTTTTCTCGATTTTTAGTTTTTCAATGTTTCTATTTTTCGTTTCTTCAGTTCTACAGTTTTGTCAAATAAATGTTATATAAATTAAAAAAAGTGACAGTGTACCTATGGTTTATGAATCCGTGTTGAATTTTTATCTTCGACATCGAAATTTTTGTGGAAAAATAAAACAAAATTGAATTACAATTTTTCGATTTCTTGATTTCTCGATTTTTAGTTTACTTAATTTTTCGATATTTCAGTTTTACAATTTTTCAATTTTTGCCTTATTTAAATTTTCATTTTTACATTTCTCAATTTCTCTATTAATCAGTTGTTTGATTTTCCGATTTTTCCTCTTTCCAATTTATCGATTTTTGAAGTTTTCGTTGTTCCAATTTTGGGATTTTTCAATATCTCCAATTTTTTAATTTAAAATTTTTCACTTTTTTGATATTTCGATTTCTCGGTGTTTCGATTTTTAAAATTTCTGATTTTTCGAATGTTGAATATTTTGATTTATCGTTTTTTTTTAAGTTTAAATGTGTATTTCAGTTTTAAATTTTCCGGTTTTTCGATTTCGGGCTATTTCGATTTCTCCATTTCTCGGATCTTTTGATGTCTCAATTTTTTAATTTCGATTTCTCGGCTTTTCCATTTTTCAATTTTTTATTTCTTCAAGTTTTTAGATTTTTAAAATTCTCCATTTTTCGATTTTATGATTTGTTATGCTTCGATCTCCCGATTTTAACCTTTTTAATGTGTATTCTAATTTTTCGATTTTAGAATTTTTGATTTCTTACATCTTGATTTTTCGTTTTTTCGATTTTAAAATGTTTTTACTTTTCGTTCTTTGTTTCGATTTCTGGATTTTTCAAGTTTTCGATTTCCCAATTTTTCAACATTTCAATTTTGAGAATGTCTTATATTTTTCAGTTTTTTGATATTTTCATTTTTCAACTTTTTAAATTTTGATTTTTCGACTTACCGGAAATCGATTTTTGGGTTTTTCAATTTTTCGACTTTTCAGTTTTGAGATTTTTCAATTTGTCGATTTTTTAGTTTTTCATTTCTCCAGTTTTTCGGTTTTTCAAGTTTTCGAATTTTTAAATTTAAAATTTTTCAATTTTTCGATTTTATTTTTTTTTACGTTCCGATTTCCCGATTTTAATTTTTTTATGCTTTTCAATCTTTGGTTTTTCTAAATTTTCATTTTTCCATTTCTCGATTTCTCGATTTTTCGACTTTTTAATTTTGTGTTTTTTTTAAGGTTAGATTTTTCGTTATTGTAATTTTTCTATTTTTTAAATTTTAGATATTTAGATTTTTCGACATCTTGAATTCTCGATCTTTTTCAGTTTGAATTCCTCGGTTTTTCGATTTTCCAAAATTTCGATTTTTCAATCTTTCGACTTTTCAGTTTTGAAAATTTTCAATTTCTCGATTTTTCAGTTTTTGATTTTCCAACTTTTAGATGTTTCAAATTTTAGAGTTTGCAAATTTCACGAGTTTTCAGTTTTTAATTTCGTCAATTTTTCGATTTGCAATTTTTCGCGTGGATTTTTAATTTTCTTTATTTTTTCAATTTTCGGCTTTCAATTTTCCGTTTCTTTAATTTTTCATTTGCAGTTTTTCTAGTTTTCATTTTAATTATGTAACACTCCTAATAATTATAATTTATAAAGTTGTTCACTTTTTCAGTTTTTCGTTTTTGAAATTTTTCAATTTTTCGGTGTTTGAATGTCACAGTTTTTGGACTTGACAGTTTTCAAGATTCTATAATTTTTCGATTTTACAATTTTTGGATTTTCCAATTTTTCAATTCGAATGGTTTTTCTTCTTTCCCATTCTTCGATTCATTAATTTTTTTAGATTTTTAAGTTTCTCGGTTTTTAGTTTTGCATTGTTTCAATTTTTCACTTTTTCGAGTTGTTAACTTTTCGAATGAACAAAATCGAAAAATTATAAAATAGAAAAATTGTAAAACTGAAAAAGTGCAAAATGAAAGCTTCGAAAAATAAAAAAATTGGAAACCAAGAACTTAAAAAATCAAAGATTGAAAATGTAAAAAATTAAATAAACAAAAAATTATAAAATCCAAAGAAACATTGAAAAAATAAAGGTAATGGAAAAATGAAAAGTTGTGATACAAAATCAAGAAAATGAAAATTACAAAATCGGGAAAATGAAAATATGGAAAATCTGAAAAATAAAGAAATTGAAAAATTCCCAAAATTGCGATGTTGAAAAATTGAGATAGTCAAAAATTTAAAAATCGAGAAATCGAAAGATTTTTTTAAATTGGAAAATTGAGATAATGAGAAATCGAAGATTCCAAAAATGGAAAAATTGAAACACATTAAAAAATAAAAATCGGGAAATCGAAACAAAGATTATAAAAGCCAAAATGGAAAATTTAAAAAATCGAAAATTTAAAATATATACTAGAAAAATCGAAAATTTTGAAAATCGAAAAACCAAGAAATCGAAATCGAAAACTTGAGATTTCAAAAGATCGAGAAATCGAAATAGGCCGAAATCAGAAAATTCAAAATTGAAATATTTACTTAAAAAAAAGATAAATGGAAAAATCGAAAAACTAAAAAAATCGATAAACAGAAAATTCCAAAAATCGAAAAATTGAAATACAGATTAAAAAAATTAAAAAATCGAAGTTAAAAATTTGTAAAAACAAATTCCATTCGATTTTCCGTTTTATCGATTTTGCAATTTTTTGTTTTTTCAATTTTTTCCAATTTTTTAATTTTCCATGTTTTCAATTTTTCGAAGTTTCTACTTTCCGAATAAACAAAATGGAAAAGTTATAAAATAGAAAAATTGTAAAATTGAAAACTCAAAATGAAAAAACGCAAAAGTATAATAATAATAATAATAATAATAATAATAATAATTTATTAACTTTCAGAAAAATCTACACAACAATTATAATAGATTTAAGAACGAATTGTCAAAGCAAAACAATTAACATAAAGGTACAGTACATTAGAAACTTATACATTTAATAAAATATAGCGGATATGCTATATTAGAAATTCGCTAATTGCGTAATAATTTTTTTTTAATAGAAATTTTTTTATTTCAGATTTAAAGACAAGAAAATTAGACGCATTTTTAATGTTGCAGTCAAGACTGTTAAAAAATTTGCAGCAATTAAAATGCAAACTTCTCTGATAGTGAGCTGTCTTGTGCTGTCTTGGTAACAACAAATCCTTGTGTCTTGTATTGTGTTCGTGTTCTGTTCTATTATTTTTGAAGTTGTTTATGTTTTTGTATGTGTATGATAAAATTTCACATATATATAAGCTTGGCAGCGTCAGGATTCCGTGTTGGTGAAAAGTTGATCTACAAGAGTGTCGGTTTTTTAGGCCCCCTAAAATTCTTACTGCCCTTTTTTGTAA